TGTTGTCCTTCTTGTATTGTTTGCGTATATCTCTAAACAATTGTTCAGTCAGTTCATAGACACCCCCATAACAATGCCACGAAAGTTCGTTATCGAATCGGTGGTACAGCCGATGATTTAGTCGTCCATCGGTTGATAGGTTTCTATAAAATCTTTTACAATTCCATTCCTTCAGAGTCGGCTCCACTAACTGACCATTTTTAGGATCGCCTAAACATGTTAAACAGATAACCGATTCGCCATTATTATTGCCGAATCGTCTAAATGCCAGACCCATTGTAAACACTTGACGGGTAATTGCTATCGGTTTGGATTCTGACCAAATTCCCGGCGAATTTTCTTCGTGCCATTCGTTACGTATGGTCGGATAGATGGCATTCAGTGAACTTCTGGCTGTATAGTGAAACTCATATGTCTGCTGCTGCTGCTGCTGCTGCTGCTGCTGCTGGTGATGGTGGCCGTAGCTGTTACCGCCACTGTGGTACTGTTGTTGTTGTTGTTGGCCAGTTGAGTTGATCGACAATGAATCAATTAGGACACAAATGGTATTTATGGTACCGTCTTTGCTGATGAATACATGTTGGCCCAGTTGTTTGCGACTCGATTGGCTAAAGTATAGCCAATCAATTTCTTCGCCCGCATACTGGTCTTGTTGTTCAAATTGTTGACTATTTAATGGATTTCCCCGAACCCGACCCGTTATAAGCATCGATGTTATCGACTGACAGAAACTGCATTCAGGTTCGCTACCATTAGCCGATGTATAACATAATTTTGGGACATTTTGGTCGCTAATATAAGTCATAGGCATTACTGACGGATAGTTAGCCATATGTGGCCAAAATATGGCGTACTGGTGATAATCGCCGGGCAATATGGATATATCGCTACTCATAGTGACTCTCAAATAGTAAAAAGATTTGTCAGGTTTTGTCATCCGATTGACGAACAGTCCGAACACCCGATGATAGGCCGATTGGGTCCAGAAATCCGTGCAACGGGTGTTTGGGTCGACAAAGTGAGTCTCGCGAATCCAGACATAGGTTTCATTGTTTAGGTTGAAGTAATTGTGTCGCCAATCGTTGTCCATATTGTTGTTGTTGTTATTACTTAACAATTAGTTGATAATTGTCTGATTGAGTGTCTGAGTGGTGTATGTGTGTGTGTGTATAGTGTTAGCGGAAAGGTATGCAATGGGAATGTGTGTTGTTTTTTAACTATTAGTGGTCTCCAAAAAAAATGATATATCAATTTGACGGTTGGTTTTGTCTTACAGTAAATTACTTTTCAACGGTTATTCAAAAATTAAATTTAAATATTTTTTTTATTGTTATATATATTTTTTAAAAAATAACAATAGAAATGATTGAATTTTTGTTGTTGTTTTTTAAAAAAAATATATATTTTATAAGCCAATATCAAAAATTAAATTTCATATATATAGGCGTTATTAAAACTATAAATAAAATAATTTAATTAACAAAAACAAATTTATAAGTAACTTAAATACAATAACAAAAAACAAATTTAAGTTAAAAAAATATAAAATAATAAATTAATTTAATCAATAATAAATAATCATTATTATTTTATAAACTATAACTACAGTATAATAGTTTACTATTAACTACAACTACTGTAGAGTACTAACTATTATTAAGTATTATTAATTGAATACATTTTTCATTTATTATTTTCTATTTATTGAAATACTTTTATATATTATTTTTTTTAAGTACAATATAAAACTAATGATTTATAAATTATATATATAAAATTATATAACTATTTGGACCAATATTTTTTTGTTTGATAAATACACATAAAAACACACCATAATTGCCAACAAATGGTTGAAATTGAAATATCATTTACGTCTCGGTTGGACTTCAGCTTTGATTACCACTACCAGTGTTTCGGCCAATTTGTTGTGAACCACTGTATCCTTGGAATTGGTTTCTATTGGAACCGCTGCCACCTTGAGATGATTGTCTGGATTGACCTCTTCTTCGACGGTTACGTCTACCAGTGTTTTGTTCACTTTGTTGTAATCCATAGTCTTCTGGGAATTGGTTAGTATGGAAACCACCGCCACCTCGAGGATGTCTGTATTGTTGACCTCTTCTTCGGTTTCCTCTACCTGTGTTTTGGCCAATTTCTGGTGAACCACTGTATCCTAGGAATTGGTTTGTGTTTGAACCACTGCTACCTTGAGATTGTATGGATTGTTGGCCACTTTGTGGTGAACCACCGACTCCTGGAAATAGGGGTGTATTGTAACCACTGATACCTTGAGATTGTATGGATTGTTGGCCACTTTGGCTACCACTACAACTGGGTTCCCATGGATTTGGACCAAATGGAAATACAGTGTTTGGATTTTGTTGCACCAAATCATACAATTGATTGTCTGATATCTGTTGGAAACCATTGTCCGATAACTGGTAATCACTAGCACTGGTTGGACCACTTTCGGGACAATTTGTTGTTTGGAACGGATTGGGACCAAATGAATTTTGTTGAACCAAATCATACAATTGATTGTCCGATATATGTTTGAAACCAATGTCTGATTGTTGAGTGTATTCTTCGATAAGAGGAATGTTGGCCACAATTGTATCATTGATCCGTCTGTCAAACAACTCATAGTAATAGCTATGAATATAACCAATAGGTTGCGGATCTTTTTGTTGATCAGTATTTTCTACTAATCTATAGAAGTGTCCGTCAATTCCCAGCCGAAAGTATTCGTTATTCTCTATTATATGTTTGTTGATAAACGGATTTTTCAAACACTTCCACTCGTATTCCTTGAATGGATCTTTTGTTTCGCTTAACACTAGCCTAATGTTGTTAAGTGTGTTGGCGTTGCCGGCTTTGGTCGGATATATATCAGTACTGTTGTCATAAGTACTGTATTTGATCGGATCCATTGCATAATTTTTAAAGACAGTCAACAAATTGAATTCAATAACATCTTCGCCACCGACAGCATCGTAAAGCGGTACTTTGAAACGTAGAGTTTGCGGCAAATAAAACAGTCGGTAATCATCACTATTAGTACCGGTCCGTATCTTTACGGGTGGATAAGCCGCTGGCGATACTCTGTATGTCTTCATTAGTTCGTTGTTCACCGGATTCAACTGATCCGGTGGTAGTTCAGCAAATCGGCTGAAATTGAATTCTTTTGGCAAAATCGAGTGATCTTTCACATTGAAGGTCTGTCCCATCAGTTGTCTGTAGGCCTGTCTAATCTGTGGTGTTTTCGCAACAATATCGATATGGATGTCCCGTTCGTACGTTTGTTGTATAGGTATACCTGTCAGTCGATCTTCGACTGTAATGCTATCGGTTTTGGTATTCAATATAATCTTGTTTAGCCACTCATCTCCGGGCGGTAACTCATAGGCATGAGGACCAGTAAATTGGTTCCGTTCGGGCATCTCATGTCTGACAATTGCCCGATGCAACTGTTCGTATTTGTGTCGGTATTCAATCTCTCTGATCCCGTCCGCCCAGTCTTCGACGCCCACAATATATCCGCCTTCGGGTACTTCCAAATAACATCGGCGTTCAATTCCAACCAAAAATTTTTGTTGTTTTCGGTAATATCCAATACAATGGTGAGTCTTTTCTTTGCCCATATTTTCGATCGTCAGATTCCAAGCACTGGTATTATAGTCTGACTCATTGGCGCCCAAAAACAGTACCGGATTTTTGAGCTTCTTAACCCGTTTAGCCATTTTATGGCTCATATATTTGTTGCAAAACTCTGGCCAATTCAGTAATACTTGCAATAGTGTATCCAATCTTTTATTATAGGGCACAGTCATCAATAGTTGATCTTCGACAATGACAACTGATCCCTGTTCAAACAACGATCGATTGTGATGTCTATTTTTTAAGCTGTGCTGATAGCTGTCGACTACTACTAGTTTAGCGCCGGCACATATATACACTGCAAATACTGTGTTTTTGGCCAACGCTTGATTGGAATCATGACTACCACCGACTGCACCTCCGACAGCACCGCCTGCTGCTAACTGTGCGCTGTTGTTGTCGTACTTATCTCTAATATCATCAAACAACTGTTGAGTCAGATCATAGCCACCGCCATAGTTATGCCAATCGGTTTCCGGCCTAAATCGTGTATACATTCGGTCATCTGTTCGTCCATCTTCTGATTGGTTCCTATAGAATGTATTCAAATCTTTTTCATAGATTTCAGGCGGTCTTAGGCCCACTTTATTACCGACACGTATCAGATAGATAAGCGATTCGTTGTTCGCACCGAATCGTCTAAATGCCAGACCCATTGTAAACACTTGTCGGACCAGTACTTTACATTTGTTGTCCGGATGTCTAATCTCTATCCAGTCATCGGTTATCGGATCTCTATCGTACCATTCGTTACGTATGGTCGGATAAATGGCAGTCATAGTACTCCTGGGGTTTACTGTATACTCGTAGAGGTCTTGTTGTTGTTGTTGTTGCTGTTGGTGTTGCTGTTGGTGGTGGGGGTCAGAGTTCGGTGGCAACAAATTAAACGCAATATATATAGTATTTAGGAAACCGTCTTTAGTTATATAGACGTGTTGGCCCAGTTGTTTGCGAGCCGATAGCAGAAAGTAATACAATTCATTGTTTACATCAATATCCGGCTCCGGTAGCTGTTCGACAAACTGTTGCTGAATTACTAGATTATTATCACTACTAATCCGACCAGTTATCAGCATCGATGTTATTGACTGATAGAATAGGCATTCCCGAGCACAACCCGTACGGGGTGTCCATAATATTTCCATATCATTTTGATTGTTAGAGTAATATTTAGGACTTACGGCCGGATAGTTGTACGGCCAATACATTAGGTACTGATGATAATCGCCTGGTAGTAGTGTTTTATCACTTTTTATTGATGCCATCAATTTGTACATGAAATCATTTCTGGTCTTTTCTATCGGTTTTTTTACCCGTTTGACATACAAACCGAATACCCGATGATAAGCCGATTGTGTCCAGAAATCCAAGTTATTGTTATCGTTGACAAAGTAAGTCTCGCGAATCCAGAGATCAGTTTCTTCGGTTAGATTGAAGTAATTGTAACGCCAATCGTTGTCCATATTTTATTTTGAAGGGATCGGGTCTCGATAGGTCACTGGCTTTTTTTAGTGGTGGTTGTGGTGATGGTAGTAGTGATGGTAGTGGTGATGGTAGTGGTGATGGTAGTGGTGATGGTAGTGGTGATGGTAGTGGTGATGGTAGTGGTGATGGTAGTGGTGATGGTAGTGGTGATGGTAGTGGTGATGGTAGTGGTGATGGTAGTGGTAATGGTAGTGGTGATGGTAGTGGTGATGGTAGTGGTGATGGTAGTGGTGATGGTAGTGGTGATGGTAGTGGTGATGGTAGTGGTGATGGTAGTGGTGATGGTAGTGGTGATGGTAGTGGTGATGGTAGTGGTGATGGTAGTGGTGATGGTAGTGGTGATGGTAGTGGTGATGGTAGTGGTGATGGTAGTGGTGATGGTAGTGGTGATGGTAGTGGTGATGGTAGTGGTGATGGTAGTGGTGATGGTAGTGGTGATGGTAGTGGTGATGGTAGTGGTGATGGTAGTGGTGATGGTAGTGGTGATGGTAGTGGTGATGGTAGTGGTGATGGTAGTGGTGATGGTAGTGGTGATGGTAGTGGTGATGGTAGTGGTGATGGTTGTAGTGTTCACTTAGTTAGTTGATTAGGTATTCAGTGATATATAAGATGTCTTTGATGTGTTGTTGTTGAGATAATTGATTGGTCTGATTGAGTGGTATGAGTGGGTGTATGAGTACAGTGATAGCGGGAAAGGTATGCAATGTAAATGTCTGGTTTTTTACTATTATAATTTGTATCCAATCAAAAAATGATATATCAATTAAATTAAATTACTTTAAACGGTTGATAATTTAAATATTTTTATTTTTAATTTTCATATATATTTAAAAAAAACAAACAATATAAATGATTGAATTTTTTTGTTGACTTTATTTTTTCATAAATTTTATAAATCAATATCAAAAATTGAATTTTATATAAAATCAGGGACAAAATAGGCGGAACTAATATTTTTGTTATATCTCAAAAACTAAAAGACCTAGGACAAAGATATTCAATATGATACTATGGCTTCATGGAACCTACAAAATAGTGTGACCAATTTTTTTATAAAATTTCTAAGATAGAAATGATCAAAATAATATAATAACATAAAATCTATAGTAGATAATGATAATCTATTAAATGTATAATAAACTAGATAAAATATAACTTGACATGTGTCTCAGCAGTTTTTATAAATTTTTGAAAGAAAAAAATAAACTACTTTAATTAAATATAAAAAAATGTAATATAATATTTTACAAATAATATATTACTTTTCTCTTTCAAAAATTGATACTAACTTTATTAATTTTTTTGAAAATTGCTGAAACACGTATCAAATTATTTTTTATCTAGTTTAGTATACATTTTATAGATTTTCATTATCTATTAGATATAATAGCAAGGTTTTGGATTTTAGGAGGGGGGATATTATATACAGTCGGGGTAAAATTTACAAAATTCTCGAAAAATATTGGGGGGGGGGGGGGGGGTATTTGGGGTAAGATTTTTATTGCATTTTTAAACGGCAATTTTTTCAAAAATCCAAAATCAAAGGCAAGAGAAAATTCCCTAAAAATTCCCAAAAGTTCCCGTATAAATTCCCAGGAAAATAGGTAAAATTTCCAAAAATATACTTAAAACTTAAAAAAACTTAAAAATTAATAAAAACTTAAATTTTAACAAAAAATAAATTTAAAATTTAATAAAAACTTAAATTTTAACAAAAAATAAAATAATGTATTTAAAATTTAAAAATAGTTGATAAAAGCATTAATGACACACTATTAGTTATTTTTAGTATTTTAATAATTTTTAATTTTTAACATAATAATTTTTTAAATAATACTTAATGTTTATAGTTTGTTATATATTTTTATTTTTTAAATGTTATTTTTATACAAATACTGACTGAATACTACTTATTTAACTCAATTTTCGTTAAAGTTTTAGTTATATTAAGTATAAAATTGGAAATTATTTTAAATTTTTTATTTAAAATTTAAAAATTATTAATAATAAACTTATAATATAAATATTTATTGTTTTATTAACTTCTTAAACAATCTTAAACTTATATTTAAATTGTAATATGATTACTCTTTTCAACAGATAGGTAATTTTTAAATTTTTTTAGTTTATTTTAATTAAAATAATGTTATTTTTTGATGAATTTTAACGTTATTTTAACTATTTTTAATCAATAATTAGATTCTTATAAAAATTAAAAACATAAAAACACTTACTAAAATAGTATAAACTAAAATTAAAATTTTCGGTGCTGAAATTTTAGGGGAGGGGGTCGATTTGGTCAAAAAGTCTGGGGGTAAAATCCCAATTTCTCGATCTTAGGGGGGTATTTTGGCCTTACCCCCTACCCCCCCCTCCCTTACTTAGCCCTGATATATATATATACTATATTATATAGCACAAGACACGTTGTTATCAAAAATGTTTTTTTTTCATTTTATTTATTTTTTAGTTTTAGTCTTTTTGTTTGTATTTTTTTTGTTTAATTGATTTTTTTTTCTGAATGACCACTGTTTTTGATTGATATATACAATTGATACATACTATAATAAAGTAAAAAAATAATAATAATAATTTGTTTTTTTAATCGATATTATTTAAAAAACATTGTATTTTTTATATTTTAACAAAATTACACTGATATTAGATGTTTACATATATTAGAGTCCAAATGAATATTTGAATGACCARTGTTTTTGTTTGACTGWTTGACTGATTGACACTTACATACTGTATATACACATATAGATCATAATCTGTATACTAAGAAACTAACTTCGGATTAAAACGATATGATAATATAAATTATACTAAAATCGTCAATTGTATTTTGATAATAAAATACCGAATTTACTTTTTTTGTCTATTCCACCACCACCTAGGTCTACCACCACCACCACCACCACCTTTACCACCAGTACCACCACCACCACCACCACCACCACCACCACCACCACCACCACCACCTTTACCACCACCACCTCTACCATCTCCAGGACCTCTGGGTTTGTTTGTGTCGGAACTACAGCCGCCACCACTTCCATACTGACGTTCTTTCTTCTTCTTCCGATTTTCCACAACTGTAAACCCTTCGGAATCTATTATAGGAGGTGGAGGTGGAGGAGGAGGACTACGATGTTGTCGTTGTTGTTGACCAGCAGTTCGGCTGCCATATGTGGTCTGGTATCCGCTGGTACCGGCTTGGCTACCTTGAGATTGTCTGAATTGGCCTCGTGTTTGGTTAGCACTACCACTGTACTTGGTTTACCGCTAGCACTAGTTGACCACTTGGTTGGTCTGTATTGACCATTTGGTTTTACCACTGTGTTGCTAGCTAGCTCTGGTCTGAGTACCGCTGCTTCCTGTGAATTGGTTTGTATTGGAACCACTGTCATCTCGATATTGTCTTGTTTGRTCTCCTCTTTGGTTACCTCTACCAGTGTTTTGGTCACTTTGTTCTGAATCATTGCTACCTTGAGATTGTATGGATTGGCCACTTTCACTACCACTACCACCACTGGATTCCCATGGATTTGGACCAAATGGAAATACGCCGTTTGGATTGTTGTTCACCAAATCATACAATTGATTGTCCGTTATCTCATCGAAACCATTGACCGATTGTTCAGAATACTCTTCGATAAAAGGAAAGTTGGCCACAATTTTATAATCGGTCCAATTGTCATATAACTCATAGTAATAGCTATGAATATAACCAATAGGTATCCGATCATTATTTTGTTGATCAGTATTTTCTACAAATTGATAGAAGTGTCCGTCAATTCCCAACCGAAAGTAATCGCTATTCTCTATTATATGTTTGTAAATAAACGGATTGTCCAAACACTTCCACTTGTATTCAGGAAATGGATGTTTTGTTTGGCTTAACTTTAGTATAAAGTGATCGGGATTGTTGGTATTGGCGCCGTTAGTCGGAATTATATCCGTATAGTTGTCATAAGTACTGTATTTGTTCGGATCCATTGCATAGTGTTTGAAGACAGTCAACAAATTCCAGTCAATAGCTTCTTCATCACCGACAACAACACCGGTTTCATTGTAAAGCTTTACTTTAAAATGTAATCTTTGCGGCAAATAAAATAGTCGGTACTCATCGCTATTAGGATTGATCCGAATCTTTACGGGTGGATAAGCCGCTGGCGATACTCTGTATGTCTCCATTAAGTTGTTGTTCAACGGATCAGGTGGTAATTCAGCAAATCGGCTAAAATTGAATTCTTTCGGATGAATAGTGTGATCCTCTTGATTGAAATGCGGTCCCATCAGTTCAATGTAGGCCTCACTGATTTCTGGTGTTTGCGCAACAATATCGATATGGATGTCCCGTTCGTATCCATCGGGACGTTGTGTTGGTTGACCTGTATTTCGATCTACGACTGTAATGATATCAGTATTGGTGTTCAATATAATCTTGTTTAGCCACACTTCACCGGGCGGTACTTCATAGGCATGAGGACCAGTGAATCGTATCCGTTCGGGCCTCTCATGTCTGACAATTGCCCGATGCAACTGTTCGTATTTGTGTCGGTATTCAATCTCTCTGATACCGTCCGCCCAGTCTTCGACGCCAACAATATACCCGCCTTCTGGTACATCCAAATAGCATCGGCGCTCAATTCCAACCAAAAATTTTTTTTGTTTTCGGTAATATCCGATACGATGATTAGTCTTTTCTTTGCCCATATATTCGATCGTCAGATTCCAAGCACTGGTATTATAGTCGGACTCATTGGCGCCCAAAAACAGTACCGGATTTTCGAACTTCTTGACCCGTTTAGCCATTCTATGGCTCATATATTTGTTGCAAAACTCTGGCCAATTCAGTAATACTTGCAAAAGTGTTTTCGGTGTTTTATTGTAGGGCACTGTCATCCATAGCTGATCCTCGACAATGACCACTGATCCCTGTTCAAACAACGATCGATTGTGATGTTCATTTTTTAAGTTGTACTGATAGTTGTCGATTACTACTAGTTTAGCGCCGGCACATATATAGACTGCAAATACTGTGTTTTTGGCCAACGCTTGATTGGGATCATGACTACCACCGACTGCACCTCCGACAGCACCGCCTGCTGCTAACTGTGCGCTGTTGTTGTTGTTGTTGTCGTCGTACTGATTTCTAATATCATCAAACAACTGTTGAGTCAGATCATAGCCACCGCCATAGTTATGATAATCGGTTTCATCCTTAAATCGTGTATACATTCGGTCATCATTTCGTCCATTATCTGATTGGTTCCGATAGAATGTATTCAAATCCTTTTCATAGATTGCTGGCGGTCTTAGGCCAACCTTATTACCGACACGTATCAGATAGATAAGCGATTCGTTGTTTTCACCGAATCGTCTAAATGCCAGACCCATTGTAAACACTTGTCGGGCCTGTACTTTAGATTTGTTGTCCGGATGTCTAATCTCTATCCAGTCATCGGTTGCCGGATCTCTATCGTACCATTCGTTACGTATGGTCGGATAAATGGCAGTCATAGTACTCCTGGGGTTTACTGTATACTCGTAGAGCTCTTGTTGTCGGTGGCCAGAGTT